GAGAGAGAGAGAGAGAGAGAGAGAGAGAGAGAGAGAGGAGGAAGAGATTGAGAGAAAGAGAGAGATTTTCATGACCATAATTTTTGGCTTAATTTTTCTTTTTGATGCCTATGACTGTTGTTTTATTCTTGTCCTTGTTTTTACTTGATCGTTTTCTTGTTGACACTGAAGTTTCTGTATAATTGTTACTTACACATAATATTGACTTTATTGGTGGTAGTGATGGTGTTGATGTTGGTGATGGCCGTGGTTAAAGAGTAGAAAAGAGGGGGACAGGGATGCGGGATTAACAGAATCACATGTGTTTGTTATCAGATCATCGGTTTTTCTCCACTTCCTCACTCATTCACTTATTATTTCCCATTCACTCCCTCACTCGCTCACTCCCTCAATATTCCCCACCCACTCCCATCCTGACCCGGACGTCCAACCCCTTTGTGACCCGCTGAACTCTGACCTCTGACCCGCCATGTCCAGTGATTGCCGTGACCTGCTGGGGGCCTGAGGGAGTGGACGCGGTCAAAGACGCCCTAAAACATGGAGGTCAGGAGGGGGCAGACGACACAGGCGCTAAGGTCAAGGTCAATGTCGATATCTTCTCTTCGTCCGGTCTTGTTTATCAGCAGTCTGGTACAGTCGAAATCGCAATCACGAGTTTGCGGGTTCGGGGATTCGAGCCTCAATTCGGTCCGAACTTGTGTCTTTGAGAAAGGCACTTTACACTAATTTTTTCCTTTTATTGGCACGGTCATATCGGAAATGGACGTTAAATTCGGAGGCCCTGCCTTTTGAATTATCCTAAAATGTTGCATAGGATGTTAAACCTGTACAATGTCATCCTTTCCACTGTCCAAATTGTCCAAGCCGGCACCCATTGTCGAGGAGAACGGTGGTTGTCCTAGAAGGGTTTTCGTCTCCAACTGTTATTAAAATATTGTATTTTTTTAAAAACCCGCTCGAGGAAAGTGGGAAGGGGTCATTTGTACAGGTGGTTGTCTTGGACGTTGTTGTCGTCGTCGTCGTCATCGTTGTTGTTGTTGCTGTTGTTGTTGTTGTTGCTGTTGTTGTTGTTGTTGTTGTGTGTGTGTGTGTGTGTGT